ATTTGGCACAGAGATCCTTATTTGTCTCTCTTCATAGCAGACTAAATTTATTTCTTGTCCTTTAGAGCAGGGTACCACAACCTCAGCCACTTTAAGATGGGTAAGCCTGGCTGGGGAATTCTGGGAGTTGAAGTCCACCCATCTTAAAGTGGCTGAGGTTGAGGAACCCTGCTCTAAAGGACAAGAAATCACTGTAGTCAGCTATGAAGAGTGACAAATAAGGATCTCTGTGCCAAATCTAGACATATCTGGTCTAGGACTGCCACTGGGCTGCAAAGATCTATGTGACCACTAATGGGCAGCAAAGAGATACAGAAAACTCTGTGTCTTTGTTGCCATCTTAGATAGTCATTTTCTGGATGTTTACTGCCCAGATCCGGTGGTCCTGCTACATACCCAATTCAGCTAGTAATTGTAGATTTGAAAATCGCTTGCCCTTTTTTTTGCTAGAAGACAGATGAATATGTGTTTCCTAGAATTCTGTTTAGTGCATCTTTTACAGGTTTTCAGGGAAAATATTGCTATTTGCTCCAGATGATCATCATGTAACAATTCTGTAGTTACTGTAATTCCAATTTTATATACAGGTGCAAAATGAATTCATATTAGCAACAGAGAGAGATTCATTTGTTGAGCAGGTTCGAGATATTATAGAAAAGGCAGATGAAATGCTCAATGAAGATCCCAGTATGGAGGCAGAAGGTGATCAAAGTATGGATAGTATACAGAGCCAGGTATGGAACTGATTTTGATGTCCTAGTGTATGTCTTAAATTGCTTCTTTTCTATTTATTCTTCTACTTTGGTTTTTGCTAAGCAATCTTGGCAAAAGATATTTACAATCGGAAATTGAACCTTCAATACTTGGAGTATCGTCCATTTTGTATTGCTTTACTATAGGTTTTCATTTTTTTCCCTCTCTTTCTACCTTAAGGGCTCCTTTGCTTAGTTTTAGCAGGCAGGAGTATAGGAAAAAGTATGTTGGGTGGCAATAGCCTCTAGATTAGAGATTCCAGCTTGCAGAGAATAGCAGGAGCATGTTTGAAGTACAGCTGGATTTTCATTGTGCCTTAGCATGCCAACTAAAATGTGCCAAAATATAACTGGTCCTGTCCTTACCATTAACAAGTTATGCTTTGTGTGATGCTGGTCCTGCTAAGGCTGATAACTTCATCTGCACTTTATTTATATTAACTAGGGACGTACAAAATTCAACAGAACATTCCATTCCTCTTCCAGATTGTGCTGAAACTCCTCCAGACTATGCCATTCCAAGATGCAGTTTGGTGGTTCATGGAAATAATTCCTTAGAATTGGAAACAGTTCAAGGTGTCTCAGGTGTAGCATTCTAGACAAAGCAGGCTTGTTTCAGGGCTGGATCACCCACAGAATATCTCAAACCATTTCTGCTTTGGAGAATTTATTTCCAGAAACTGCCAAACCTCCCCCTGGAATAGTACAGTCCGGAGAGGGAATAGAGCATTTCTGAGTTCTCTGGAATGTTCCATTCCCAAATAAGTGAGTTTTGCATATGCCTGCTAAAAAGCATATGAAAGCCCCAGTTGACTAAAGCCATGATGGGTAGGAGAAATCAATTTGTAGGGAATTGTATCATCTGGTGAAAACCACATTTTACTATATTCCTTTTATTTTTCTTACCTTGTGCTTTTACTTTCTTTGGCATATTATTTTTTAGTCCTTTTTTTTTTTTTTTGCATTTTGCATAAAGCTGGTTACTGCAAAAGGGAATATAGCATGATCATTTGAAGCATTTTTATCTTGCTCCTTGTTCAGAAGGATTCTCAGAGATGCTTACATGCAATTGATAAAAATGGCATTGTCATTGCCTTCCTGTTTATAACTTACAGCAGGGTTTCTCAGCTTCAGCAACTTTTAAGGTGTGTGGACTTCAACTCTCAGAATTCTCCAGTTAGCAGGCTGGCTGGGGAATTCTGGGAGTTGCAGTCCACACATCTTAAAATTGCTGAGGTTGAGAAACACTAACTTAAAATACACAACACAAAAAGAGGAAAAAGAGTATGAGGAAGAAAGAAGGACAACAAATTTACTCCGGCATAAATTCTTAAAGTGCCCTGCTGTAAGAAGTTAAGGGTAAAGAGAAATGTGATGGAACCTTACTGGTCTTTCAGCAAAGCTTATAGAATTGTCCCTCCATGCATCTCATTTTCTATTGCTCCAACCTACTGAATGGCCATTTCTTTTTACTTACTGTCTGTGTTGCGAACAGAAAATGCAAATTAAGTGCTTAGGGAAGATGCCAGTGAGGAATCTAAAGCTGTTTTGAAAATATGTAAGATGCTTCCCTTATGTCAAACTTTTAATGGTTAGATGATTTTAGTATTTATTTTAATCAGTAATTTTCATCTGCATTTTTAACTTTCTATATTCTGTTTCTGTTTTTAAGCAAAAGGCAAAGTATAGATCAAATAAAATATTATACCCCTCTTCCCCCTTTCCTTTGAATCTGTTGATTAAACTTCACATTGTACATTACAAATTTCTTATTTAATGTCACTGCTATTTCTGGAGTGCATTCTTATCTCGAATAATAACATTTTTAAAAAAATAATGTCAAGACTACCTTCTTTGTGGCTCATCCAGACAGATAATTATTGCTTTGTTTGAATGGAGTTTTTTGGGGTGGGGTGTGTGCTCCTATTTTAATTACCAAATGTTTCCTTCAATTGTTATTTTATTCTACTTCCCCTTTTTTCTTTAATAATCTAACAATGTTTAGTATCAATGTGCTGGTTTGAACATATTATGTTCATGTTACTTTTGTCATGAATATACAAGGTTTTAATTTCTTCAGCTTACTATTTCTTATTCCTTTTCTGTGCTTTGAATCATGTGGCTTAGCCCAAAGGGGTACAGTGTATTGGGTATATATGTATGTAAAATATTCCAGATGCATCCTAAAGATATAGTTTCCACACAGCAGTTAAAGACAAGATAAGGAAATATCAAATAAATCAATAAAAAAATTAAATATTTAGAATTGAACCTATGCATATTTCAGTGAACAAATTTTATATGCTGGAGTAAAGTATGTTATGAGTAGCTAGGATATGGAGAGTCAGTTTGGTGTAGTGGATAAGGAGTTGGACTGTGAGTTCTACTCCTCGCTTAGGTATGAAGGGCAGCTGGGTGTCTTTGGGCCAGTGAGCCTAACCCACCTCACAGGCTGTTGTTGTGGGGAAAATAAGAGGTGGGAACATTATATATACCATCTTGAGTTATACAGAGAAGGGTAGGATATAAATCAAATAAATAAATCAATAAATTTTAGCCTAATTCATTAGTTCTTATGGCTATAATACTGAGATTTTCCTTTGTTATAGAAATTGGATGGAGACTTCAAACAACCAGATCCTGTATCTTCCATGCCACAAAAAATAGGCAAGTACTGTTAAATTCTGCTATGATTTGGCATTGGTGATTTTGATCTCAGATACTATAAGATTGCAACCACCTGCTTCAATACAGGTAGTCCTCGCTTACTGACCACTCTTTCAGTGACTGTTCAAAGTTGCGACAAGTGGTACTTACGAACGGTTCTTGAAGTTCCGGCCGTCACACCACCCCTGCAGTCACATAATTGTGATTTGTGACCTTCCCTGCTGGCTTCCCACAAGCAAAGTCAATGGGGAAGCTGGCCAGGAAGGACATAAGTCGCTCTGGTAAGTCCCCCTGGCCTCCCTGTATTCTTGCACGGCCTGCATCGGACCTCCCCCACTCTCCCCACAGCACCTCCATCCTTTCTGCACCACTTACCTGGGACTCCTGCCGCTTCCTGCTTAATGACCCACGTGTCTTGGGGTTACAGTAGCAACCAGGACTGATGGGATTGTCATCACTAAGTGATACAATCATGTGACATCATGTTTTATGACTGCATCACTTAGCAATGACAGTCCTGGTCCCAATTGTTGTCGTAACCTGAGGACTACCTCTAGTAGAATGCATGAACTTTGCACTGAATTAGAAATTGGACTGCAAGTAATTGCACAGCTATAATCATTAACTTCTTGTTATTTTAGGTGTACCTCCTAATTCACTTACTCAGGTTGTCCATTCTGCTGGAAGAAGATTTATTGTCAGTCCTGTACCAGAAAGTAGATTACGAGAACAGAAATTTTTCACTTCCATTCCATCAGAATATGAGCTTTTTGATACAGGTAAGTTAAACAGCATTCCATACAAAATGTTAGTGTATATTGCTTTCAGAGATAGGCCTGGTTTAATTGGACTTGTTTTAATAAAAAGTGTATTATTTGTGGTGTAAATTACCCTGACCTGAACAACCACCTTCTCCAGATATACTTACCTAGACTTTGAGAGCATCTTCAAAGGTTCTCATTGTATGTCTGTTTTCATATAATATGACAACCTCTTTTTATCTTTTTATCTTTTTTATCTTAACAATTGTGAACAATTGTGTTTATGTGTTATCATATGAAATCTTAAAATTAAAAACAACTAAAATGAGATCATGGGAGAGGTTGTCAGTGTTGATTATCTCATGAGATTTCAGCTACTTTTCAAGTTTAAAAAAATGGGGAGGCCAGTAATACTATTTAGTGGTTCTGTGAATGCTGCATGCTCCTGCTTTAAGCTACATTTGCTTTCTGTGTCTGTTTTTATGTAAATTTATACTTTTGTTCTGTATTGAATTTAGAATTCGACTAATTTATGTTGCAAGTTACTGTACTCTTTTGTTAGGAAGACAGTACAGGTGGTCCAAGGTTAACTGCCACTCATTCAGTGACTGTTGGAACTTATGACCCGTCCTCGAAGTTCCAGCTGTCACAGCATCCCCACAGTCAAGTGATCACGATCTGGGCACTCAGCAACCGGCCCAGATTTCCAACCGTTGCAGTGTCCTGAAGTCATGTGATCATGATTTGCAACCTTCCCTTTCAGCTTCCCACAAGCAGAGTCAGTGGGGAAACTGGCAGGAAATCAGAAGTTGTGGTCATGTGAAGCCCTAACGACCCGTAGCGATTTGCTTAACAACAGTAACTGGGGACTGCCAGAACTGCCGTCGCTAAGCAGCACAGTCACGTGACATCACATTTTATGACTGCATTGCTTAGCAACAAAAATTCCGGTCCCAATTGCCATTGTTAAGGACTACAGACTGTGTAAACATTTAGCAAGCATTTAGCATTACATTCAATATCGTTCAGTAAGTTTTCCTGAATAAGTTGACTGGATCTTTTTCTTTCAGTTGCTGCTTCCACATCTCATGGTCCTGGGATGAATCTCTCACATTCTGCATCATCACTCAGCCTGCAGCAAGCTTTCTCAGATCTCAAGCATGTGCAACTTACTGAAGGACCTAGCACAGCTCCCCCAGTTTTTAACCAAGCTGTGCCTCCTTTTCCTACTGTAGCTTCAGGTGTAAATGGGCTGCCATCTATATCTGTAACTGCTTCTTCTGTGTCACTTCCTCCTTCCATTAGTATTTCTTTATCAACAACTCAGTCCACAGAAAAGGTGACCACAGGGCTTCCAGTGAGTGAAGAATTGTCAGCCTCAAGCTCTCCACCACCAGTGTTGCAGCTTGGGTCACAATTAAATAGTGGAGTAGCTTCAAGTATCAGTGCACCTTCATTTTCATCAACAACTGTAGTCCAGGTGGCTTCTGCTACTGGAGAAATTGTTTCTAGTATTAGCACACCTGCTTCTCTAACATTACCACAAGCTGGAACAACAGGGCCTAGTGTTACAGTATCAGGTGTTATGGCACCATCAGTGCCATCCCAGCAGGTTGGTAGTGCTGTTTCAACAACTTCTCAAACAGTTCCTGTATCTTTGGCACAGAGTGTTGTTTCACAGTCTTCTCAGCTGAACACCAGCACCTCTGTTCCCAGCCTAGCAAAAATGGCAGTGGTTAGTGTGCTGCAGCCAAGATCAGAAAGCGAACAGACATCAGAAAATCCACAGCTATGCCATACAGGTGAAATACCGGTGCATGTTTCTGTACCTATATTCTCTACAGGAACATCATGTGTGTCTAGCAGCAGCTCCCAGCAATCTGTGGTGCAGCCATTACCCATCCCATCTGTAGTCACCTCATCTAGCTTAGCCACATCATTGGGTGCAATCTCTACCCCAGTATTACCCCAGGCCCCTTTGCCTGGTGTCTTACCACTGGCACAGCCAGTAGCTAATATACCAGCTGTCCAGCAGACTTTAATACATAGTCAGCCTCAACCAGCTCCATTACCCAATCAACCTCATATTCATTGTCTAGAAGGGGATATTGACACCCAGCCCAAAGCACCTGGCATAGATGACATTAAAACCCTGGAAGAAAAACTGCGATCCCTCTTCAGTGAACATAGTGGAATTGGAGCAGCTCATCCATCTGTGTCCCTGGAATCATCTTTAATAATGGAGTCCACAGTCATTTCTGGCTTACCAAGTACTACTGTTGCACCCACAAAGCCTGTGGCGTCCGTTGCAAGTAGCAGTGTACCACCAGCAAGTTTGATGCTTGGTCCAACAGGTCTTCCTATCATGACACCAGTTGCCACACCTGGGCAAGCAGGCACCCCAATTAGTTCTGTCCCAGCGACATGCTGTCCTGCCACAGCAACAACTAAACCAGGGACCCCTTCTTCAAAACCACCTCTTAACCGGGCATCGGTAAGAAATCCAGTATTTTTATCAATGCATTTTTAATCATGTTAAATGAAAAGCTTCCTAAAAAGGCTATGGTTGATGTTTATTTATGCTTTCCTTGGTCAGCCTTTGTATGTTTCTTAGTGTTAGTTCATCTATTCCAGTTCTGTTTGCGTACTTTATAAATATTAGTGCTTTCTATATTTCTGTTTAGAAAAAAGAAAAGTAAAATGGGGAATAATATAAATATAAAAAGTTATCAGTGAAGTGGAAGGAGGTGGATAGGGAAAATTTTTACCTACTTATAATAAAATCCTGGCTCACCCACTGAAATAGAATGATATGGGATTTGATCAGATACAAAATATTTTGCAATATCACACATAATTAATTACAGAATTTACCACAAAATACTGTGATAGCTGCCAACTTGGATAGCTTTAAACTTGAACAAATTTATGGAAGATAAGGCTACTTGGTGACTAATTATCATAATGGCTGTGTATTACTTTACATATCTGCCTCTTCAACTATACATGTGATGCACAGATATCACACAGAATAACAGCAGTTCACTGCAGGTGGTCCTTGTTTCACAACCACATGCTTAGTGACCATTCGAACTTACAATGATGCTGAATGAGTGGTAGTTAGAACCGGTCCTCGTACTTATGACCATTCAGCATCCCGTGGTCACATGATCATGATTTGTGACCTTCTCTGCCCAGCTTCTGACAAGCAAAGTCAGTGGGGAGCTGGCAGGAAGTCACAAGTTGTGATCACATGATGTCCTTGTTTAATGACCCATACTGTTCTCGCTTAATGATGGAAACTGGGATTACCAGAACTGCTGTTGCTAAGTGGTGAGATCACATGGTTTTTTTACTTATGACCACGTCGTTTAACAACGGAATTTCTGGTCTCAATTGGCATTGTTAAGCAAGGACTACCTGTACGCTGTGGCTGTAGTTCTTTGGTCATATGTACATTCATGTGACCCTTTCCTATTCCCTGCTAAATGTGCGTGCTAATGGCACAGTGGTGGCCTGAAACTGAGTAGTTACCAGGACATTGAACACAATAGAATGGAGTAATTTTTGAAGGGTAGCTTTCTGCCAATAAAAGTTCAGCTAGAGAATGTTTCAGAGTATTAGTTTGTGTAGGCATAAACCCATTACATGTGAATGCCCAGATCACCACTTCATGGTCTACAGTTACAGATAAGTAATGTCCTATATTCTATTAAATATTAAGTGGGAGAGATTATGAGCCCTTTTCTCTGCTAAATTAAAGAGAACATTGATGCTGTTGAACGCATGGGGCACCAACAGGTTACATAAGCAAAACTCCAGTATAGGGACTGATTTTATTTTTAAGTTTTCTGGGAGAAAAAAAAAATGAAGATCAAATAAACTTATTCTGGGCAGATAGGGCCAAGCTTTATGAACCACTAATCCAGTAATTACAGATGTAGATGGTAATAAGCAGATGAATATACTGTGGATTTTGCAATATGTAGTCATCTTTTTTTAAAAGGTTACTAACATGATAAACTTTGTGTTTTCTTATGTATAGTTAAACATTTCCCCAAACTATCATATGTGAAGGTATATTCCAACAATTTCTAATATTTCATGTTTTCCAAAAAATAGTTTTTTAATGAGGTATAATTCCAGACTGAATTTTATACAGCTACGTATTTTTGATGGGGGAGTGGAGAAGGAGATGTTCAGAAATCTGCATTCCATTCTTTAAATTCACTGCTATTACAGTGGAAATATCCAGAATGTGCTACCTAACTTTGCTGTTAGGCTGATATGCCTCATTTTGGTGTATCTGTTTTAACAAATGTTAATAACATAGCTTTTCCTCCTTGAATTTGCATGCTCCAATATCTTTTAATAGAACAATCAGTTTTACTGTTTCCTTCAGCATATTTGTTAACCTTTTCATCTGTTTGCATGGTAGCTAGGCCAATTCATGAATAATTAAAATAACAGTAACCTGCAACTATAACCTGACTCTAGCTAGTCTTGCTGTGACTATATTTGTTTTTAAGTTATGCATATGACAAGCTACTTGTACAAAGAGAGATTGTCTGTCTAAACAATATGTGTTCAAACCCTGTGTAAAATACCGATGGGGTTTAAATAATAACTATTCCCTCAGTGCTTCTTATGAAAATAATAGTGGTGTGCATTAACCATTTTGGTTTGGACTTCATTTGGTCACATTGAAAAATTGTCCAAATTAACTTGGATTAGAGTCTGTCCAATTCAGGTCTTTAATGAGATTTTTGCCTTCCATTGACAAGTTTGGGAAAACCACAAATGGATCTAGCTTTCTTATTTTTTAACAGTGGGATAAACAATTCGAAGCAGAATAAATATGTTTGAAGAGATGGAAATTGCCCAGTTTCAGACAAATAGGTACAGAGATTTTTTTAAAAGAGAAGTGCCAGTAACTGGTGTTTGGACAGAACTAAATTACATTTTTATGAGATAGATTCTGCCCAATATGTTTCAGCATATCATCTTCCCCAGAAAAGGAATGCATGTTCCACTTACGATCAAAGCACGGTGTCTGAAAATAGTTTCTTTGTTGAGATTTTGCCTTTTTCGTATTGCAGATATAAAACATTTTAACAGTTAATCATAACTGATGTTAATGATGATCTTTAACTGTTGAAGGCTCTACAAGGAAATACTTTTGTTCCATATGAGGTTTAATTTTTTGCTTGTGTAACTAAACTTGAATTTCATGTCTATCCATAGGCACTACCAGTAGGTTCTGAACCTCCAGCTGGTGCTCTACCCAGTGAGCAGCTCCCACCCTTTCCGGGACCTACACTAACTCAGGTGCTATATGGCTATCTGCTTCTCCTGTTTTTTCCTTTCAGAGAGCATGTTTCAATTAAACTCTATCGCATGATGGTTCTTCCTACACTCTCTTTTTACTGAGCAGCTTTTTCTTGCATAATCTCAGTTAATAATAGAAAGGTTTCTTAATTAAAGGCCATTCTTATCTTTCAATCCCTCCCCCTCCCAATACAAAAAGGCTGCTTAACTTTGTTGTTAATTGATTTAAAGATGTTGAGTGTTCTTGAGATCAGTGCATAGTGCCTTTTAAATTTGTTCTGATGTTTGACATGTAATTAGTTTGTTAGACATGTCTTTCTTTTTAAAAAAAAAAGTACATCCAGTGAATAAGGTTCTTGTGCTTCGTGTTCAGTTGGTAATGAGGACAGTTTCAGGGAATGGAGATGAAACTACAGTATCCTGTTCGTGATAAATCATCAGCCAGAAATTTGGGGGGCACTTATAAGCAATGTTTTTATATGGAATAGCATTTTCAAAGTCTGCTCATCAGAGTATAGTGATAGGAGCTTTTTGAGTTCTGTGCTGTTGAATATAGGAATTGGAGAGTTCATGGACGTGTCTATACAGTTATCCTGGCAGCAATACAGAAGTGGTTTATCATTGCTGCATTCTTCTTTTTGATTCCCCAGTGTAGTCTACAGCCCTTGTGTTCCCTAGAGATCTCCCATCCATGTACTAACCAACCCTAACCCTGCTTAGCTTCTGAGGCCCAAACAGGATTGGGCAGGCACTTCTATCTGCTGAAAACTAATGTAGATACTGTATCTACATTAGATACTGCTGGAGAGTACTATGCGGGTATATCATTTTAGAGTCAGTGTGACTAAAATGTTGGATTAGGACTAGAGCAGGTTAAAGTTCACCCTCAGTAATAGAGACCAACTTGGTGACTTTGGGTCAGCCACTCTCTCAGTGCAGCCTACCTCATGGGGTTGCTGTTGTGGTGACAGAATTAAGGACAATCCCCATGGAAGTGGCATCAGCTGTTGGAAGAAAGGCAGAATCAATGAATAAATAAATTAATAAGTGTGTGTGTGTGTGTGTGTGTATCACACGCGGACACAGAGAGAAAAAAATAAATCTAAAAAGCAGTGTTATAAATGATTACAATTATATTGCAAGAAGGTAGTTTTTCTTTTTGAAATCAGGGCATGTATTCTCTTGAGTTGAAAACATTTGGTCATTTGTGTGGGTAAGAAGTGAAATATTTGTTAACCTAGTTTTAATGCTTCAGCTGCTTCATGCTAAACCAAATATAGGTAATGGTCAAACCAAATCTTAAACCTATGCTGGCTTGCTGAGAATCAGTATTACTATGCTATAGTCCTAGGTGGGACTCTCCAAACAATTAAACTGCCAAACTCTAAATTATACAGTTATATTTTATACCTTTACTTAGTATCTGTTTTTAATACTTGCAATACTATTCCTTCATAACACAATGCTAGAAGGGTCCCACAAAGTATAGTTCCCACTGGAAACCTATATATAAACCTGGTCTTGCAAGCATAATAGAAAATAACTAATACAAAGCATTCCATGTGATGGTAAATTCTTGTTTCCATTGCTACCTGCGTTTTGAAATACACTCTGTGCACAGTGAGGATAGGGTTCTGAATAATTAGAATTAGATTCTTAACAGACCTTTGAAGACTTGAGCCCAAAGAATCAAGTAACCCATTATGGTGTTTTCAATTGCGTGAAGGAAATGGATGGCATTGGTTTACAGGAATTAATCCACTCCTTTCTCAATTATTGTGCTTTATATCAAGAGTTGATATGTAAACTCAGGTTACCAATTTACATTAACTAATTGATGTGCTAAAGCATGGATCAAATAGATTTGATTGTAACTTACTTGTGCATTTGTCATTGTGCAGATAGTTTGTATTTAACCCACATTTATTATACAAAAACATGTGTTTTGAGAAATTTCTAAATGGTAGTATGAAAAATACAGAGGAGTGGGCAGGCATATTTATATCAGCTCAGAAAAGAAGAGTATCCATGGGGTTTGGTATCTTAACAGCTACAAGAGTGGCTCAGTAGAAGTATTAATGTATCTACCTATATTCTGTTTTAATGCTGCAGTATACTTTCAGGTGTTTCAAGTAAGGTTGCTGTAGGCAAGCTGATGCTAATAAGTGATGAATGTATATAGAATTAGAGACTTCATACATGTCCATCCTTATATGCCAAATGCCTTTGAATGTATTTGAACGTAAAGATATAGTTGCGTGGATATAAAGATATGACTGTTCAGATGTTTGTTGCATGTTAAAGATTTCATGTACATTGGGATGCTTTAAGGGGCAAAACCTAATTGTTCTTCCTTCTTCCAGTCCCAACAACCTCTGGAAGACCTGGATGCCAAGTTGAGAAGAACCCTGAGTCCCGAGATGGTTCCAACAACCACAGCTCCTGTCTGTGTAGGTTTTGGCTGAAAACTTGAAAATACTCACCTGCTTGTGAGCTGATGCAAATTCTCCAGAAAATTTAAGAGGGCTAGACAGACTTGCTGGTTCTATTTTGCCTGCCTCATATTCTAGAACAGCCCATGGGCCAAAATGGGATGCCTCTTGCATCCCATTTGTAGCCCCTGTTGACCTTCCCAGTATTTTTAGACCTTTTTTCCCCAGTGTTGTGTTGTTGTTTTTTCTTCCAGTGTTGGGGATGAAAAATTTAAGGGGTAAAATGTGTGCTTTAAGTCTTAAGTGTGCTTTATAAGTCTTTAATGAGGCATCCTCGGTACTTTACAAATTCTGACCCTCCCCCACCAAAGTAAGTTGTTTTTTCCCATTGGATATTTATCTATTTACTTTAGTTGTATACCACCCATTCCCAAAGGGGAATGGTGGGAATAATAGGAACCATAAAGGTCTGCAAGGCTTAAGGCAACTATTTTCCATTTAACCATCCCCCCCCCCAAACAAAAAAGGTTAGAAAAT